CATTCCTTTACTGGCACACTCTAAGCAAACCGAACACCTTGCTGTTTGATAACTTTGTACTTTCTTGAGCTGGTCCTTTCTTCCATCTCCCTTGTTACTGTGTAGCTTCAATGCATCCTTTAAGTCTCATCTTAGATGTTACTTCTCGGGCAAAACCTCCCTTGACAGGACCCTGCCCCTTTTCTGTGCTTCTGTGTAGCCCACCTTCCTTTCCTATCAGCTGCCACAACTCCCTGTGGCTGTTATGTATTAAGCGGCTAGTCCTCCCCACCACTGTGATTGCCTTGAGAGCAGGGGCCTTGCCTGTACCGCTTAGCAATGTATCTGTAGCGGTAAGCAAAATGCCCAACTCATACAGGATTCTTATGAGGAAAGCCAGTCTGAATTCTTATTGAAAAAGCTGCCATTACCGCCACAAAATGTCCCATAATTGACATCACTTGATTTAAATTGCATCATGTGACATTTCTTCAGCCTTTATCAGTATGGTTAGCATTGTATTAATAGAATTTTGTGCTTGTTTACGTATGTTTTTGAAAATACTTTTATTATCCTTTTCTCATTTTCTTGCTTATATGGTAATCTCTGGAATATTTTAAAGGAATGATAGCTTTATTTTCAGGTACACACAGTTACTTGTACTCAACACAAATCAAATTGCTTTGCTCCCTAGATTGTAATTATTTTAACTGAATATAAATATGTTTTTCTAAAATGTTTTTAAACAATTTTTAAATGAATACTATTGTATTTCTTTTTTTAATGTCAATTTGCTTATTAAATTATTTTAATTTATATAATGCAAAAGTGACACTCATGCAGCCCCTGTCCAGTTATAATTGGTGGAATTAGAAATAATATTTTCCTATTGTTTCCATCAGAATTTATTCAGTGGAAGAAATCTTCTAATTATTCAGGTTGGGATTGTGGAATTTCACAGGGACTAGAACAATGATTTTTGGGACGAGGACAGCTTTGTGAAAGAACTGTTGTATAAAATTGTTGAGGGGAACAAGGAACAAGGATTCTTGTTTTGTGAGGAATACTTAAAGACATGTAGCTGTCTGTTAAATGTTCACCTTGTTTATCCACATTCTGCAGCTTTATTTCTAGACCCCAGAGAGGAAAAGGAACTCATCATTGGGGAACAGATGGGCAGCAGAAGCTGCTGGAGGCTGTGAATATGCCTCATAGAGTTCAGCACCCAGCGCAGCAGGTTTCACTGCAGAAGCCTGGGGTGAGCAGGTGCTTGCAGGTCATCTCTGGTCGCATAGTTCACATTACTACCACCACTATCAACAACAGTAACAAAAGTAAACATCCAAACCAGGTATCAGGAGAGCTGCTGCCTCCCTGTTTTCAAGTATGCTTCACAGAGAATTCACCAAAACACTATCCTTGTAAAAAGTCCCAACACAACTGAACACAAAAATCCTTTAAAATTCTCTGTAAATACATTTGGCAAGTGGTCTGTAAACAAAATGATTTAAATATATAAAAACCAAGAATTGCTTTATGGATGTTTTTCAGCAACTTTTTGTTAGCATTCCCTAACACCTTACCTGTGATAGATTTAAGATCTCATATAAAAATCTAGTGATTAACCCTTCAAAAGTATTCACCAACCAATCCCAGCTGAATATTTTTTTCTGTCACATCCTGGTTCTCCTTGATTTCATGACTTCTTGGGTTTAACACCAACTCTAATTTCTAGAATGAGGTCATCAATAGTTAGGAGGAAGGACTTTAACCAATGGCAAAGGGGATCTAAGGCTCTGCCCCACTAAGCCATCTGACTTCAAATTTTCTATATTCAGGTTTACTCCCATGATGTGCTCCTCTGTGTTGGAGGGCAAAAGGGCAGGAGGTCACACTTTCTCTGCTTCCACCACTGACACATGATACTTGCTTTTATAAACTGGGAATGATTAAAAAAAAAAGAAATGGAAATAAACAGTATTGAGGGCTCATTTCATACACTTAAAAAATTGTGGGTTTCTTTTTCAGACTATACATTCACACACAGAGAAGTCTCACATAATATTAAATCTTGGGGAGAAACACACTTCAAGCTTAAATTTTATGTCAAAAATGAATTTTTTTCCTTCAAATTATAAGTCATTTTGATTTTAAATATATACTCATAAACAGAATTTTTTGAAAGCCTAACTGGTTTTGTTTTTACCCTTAACCCTATAGTTCAGGTCTTCAAATTGCTATAAATATAGTTATGATATAATGTGAATAAATCTAAATAACCTAGTTCAAGCCTTTCTAAGTAGACTGAGCATATAGAAAGATAAAAGAGTCTGTCTTCTTTTTTAAAATCAATTTGACAGGCCGTCATATCCAATTTGATGGTGAGTAGAACAGGGCTTGTTAGAAAGACTCAGGTCATTCCCCACCAGGGGGCAGAGTGCAGTGGCCTTATTATGTAATAGGCTTACAACACTTTGAAGACTTCTGTAGTCCTTAGGCTAATGGTAACTAAGCTGGAATTTATGCCCACACTTCTGTCTCCTGCTATACTTCTTTCTATGCTACAGCTATACTGACTCTCCAAATTCTTTGAATGGCCCATGCTCTTTCCTGTATATTAGATAATCTACCAGGAACCTTCTATACCAGTCCCTCCTCATCTCTTCATCTGACTAATGCCCACACATCCTTTAGGTCTCAACTCAGACATAGCTTTTGTAGGATAGTCATCCCTAATTACTTTCTCTCTACCCACATTTATATACATACATACACACCTGACTAAGTTAAACCCCTAAGCCCCTCCTCCTTGCAGTACTGGTCACTTTTCCTTCTTTACCTTTACAGTGTTTGTAATTCTTGTTTGGTGTCTGTTCTTCCCACAAGTCTGTAACACTAGGGGAAGAGGATAGTGTGTCTCATTCTTAACTGAATCTTGAGCATAGCAGTGTATCTAGGTAAATGCAAAAGGAAGGAAGGACAGAAGGAAGGAAAGAAGAAAATGATGGGGGCCTGTGGGGGGAAGGAAAGGTCTGTGCAAGATTGTAAAATCTCTATCCCAATGGATTTAGAAGAAGCATATAATCATTCTCTGATCTGGCTGGTTAGACCACACTATACCTCAAGGTCCCTTCAGTTCTGGATCATGTTAAGTCAGCTATACCTTCTACAACTTTTAGTCTGTGAAAATACAGCTCCTGTATCGTTCACTGGGAAGATTCTGGAACAGAACTGCACCAATTAACTCAGCTAAATGGAGGACACATTTATTCCAATTGATCTCAGTTTAACAAGGGGTGAACTATGGTCAGCCATATATATTTGGCCCAGGTCCCTGCTCTGTGAGAAGCAAGTGATAAAACACTCTCTCTGGCAGAGACTGAACAGTTGTGTTCCAGAAACTGCAGGGTATGACTCTATGGGTATAAATAAATCCACCTCTTGACCAAGACAATCTTTAACCCTCTCCTCAGTTTGATTCAACTTTAGATGAGTTTCTTCCTGACCATGGGCCCCTTGACTTCCCTTTCCTTAGAGCATTTAATTTTAAAAATGCTGTCATAAATTCTTTCTCTGTCCCTCGGAGGTATACATTTTCTCCTAGCCTCTTGCCAGTTTTTACAGCAGAGAAATTTCTTTCTTAAGGACCTGGAAGCCATCCCTTTGAAATGTAATCATCAAGAATGATAGCAAACCCCTGTCTCCCAGTTTCTGTGGGAAGGTGGGAGCTTAACTTAGATAAATGACAATTATCAAACACAGATGACTAATCACATTGACCAAGTTCCCCTCAATGTCCCCTAGCACTTGCTCACTAGCTCATCTCAGCACCTAAATCTCCCCCAACTTTTGTTTCAGCATAATGGAGTTCAGTGTTTCTGGCCTATTGGAATAGTCTTGAATAAAGTCTTTTTTACCTGTTTAACTCCACCTAGTGCAATTTTTTTTGGCACCTGCTGGGAAGGGATCAAAGCACTCACATGAGGGGCGCCTGGGTGGCTCAGTTGGTTAAGCGACTGCCTTCAGCTCAGGTCATGATCCTGGAGTCCCTGGATCGAGTCCCGCATCGGGCTCCCTGCTCAGCGAGGAGCCTGCTTCTCCCTCTAACCCTCCCCCCGTCATGTACTCTCTCTCACTCTCTCAAATAAATAAATAAATCTTTAAAAAAAAAAAAAAAAGCACTCACATGAGGTTTGGCCCGGCTCATATGTACACTTAAATTAAATTGGAGCTACATCACTCATGACTGATATGAATGTTCTAGAAGGTGGCCAAATTTTTTTAAAAAATTGAATTCACTGAATAAAACATCAGTTAACTTCCTTTTAGTGAGCAGGAGGATTATTTTTATTTTGGGGAGTGGGATTGTTTTCTTATAATGCTGCTATTTTGAGATAACATTGAGGGGGAAGCATCTGATCACTTCTAGGCGAGGCAAGTTTGAACAATGTCCAGGCACAAAATCTGTGGTTGTCATGCTTCTGAGCTAAATCAATTTTCGACCTCATAAATGCAGCTCATATAATGGTCTTGGCTGCAACCTTGAAACCTTGCTGAGCTCTTATTGTGAAGGCCCCGAGTGCCTGGGTTTTATTTTATTCTGATTTGGACAGCAGCTGATGGGTTTTGTGGCCTAAAGAGCACTGGGTTTGGGAGCCAGACTGCCTGGATCCATATTCTGGATCCACTGGGATTTCAGTTAGTTGCTGAACATCTGACTGAGTAAAAGTAAATAGTACAGAATCTGATGCCTAGTAAATGCTCAATAAATGTGAGTTCTTGTCATTGCTACTATCATCATCTTCATCATCACTTTCACTACTGTGAAAAACAAACAGGACTTTATGATTTCAGAATTTACTACTCTTCCACAAAAAAAAAAAAGTCATTGATAGGTAGCAATTCTGGCATAAAATAGACTTTCAGCCTTGCTGAATTGCTTCATTCATGCATAATGCTGAGCCCTATTTGTGAGACCTTTGTCTTTCTTTCTCCCCACCCCAATCCCTGAATTTTTTTAGTGATGGATGGGCAGACAGAGATGAAGTCATTGAAGGTTATGAGGTGGAAGCCAACGGGGGAATCACAATAAAGCTGCAATCTCCAGAGGTCAGGTCATTTGATGATTATTTCCTGAAGCTGAGGCTGGACACTAATACAAGGAATCCCTGGTTCCCTGAGTTCTGGCAACATCGGTTCCAGTGCCGCCTACCAGGACACCTTCTGGAAAATCCCAACTTTAAAAGAATCTGCACAGGTAATTTGTGTTCACAAAATAACAACTCAGAGGTTACAACTCTAGCCCCCTTACAACTTGTTGAGTGAGAGTAGAAGGTGTCAAGGCTGGAGTGCCAAAGACTGAATTGCCATCTTAATTTATAAAATAGCTAGAATGAGGAGAGTGTGTGCATGACCCCAAGGATTCATGTTTCTATATTCTGGAAGAACTGCTTTGGTCTCTGGTGGAGCAAGTTGTAAGAAGAGAGAATGCAGGTCAGGGAAAAGAAAACTGAGAATTCAGGTATCTAGTATTCAAGCCAGAGGGAAGAGATTTTATTGCGAGCATGCTTTGGAAATGTTAGCCATAGACATAAGTAGGCAGCACTGGTTTGATCCCTTTTTCTTCTTTATGACTCACTTCAATATACAAGTCTGAAGAAGAAAAGATAATGTTATTTATCCAGGGCCACACCACTAACATGGGTGTATGTGGACATGGGTGGCAAGAAACTGCACTCATCTGTCAATAGGAGAGACATTTCCTGGTGGGTCAGATAATTCCCATGCACTGCTCACTGAAGGCAGGCCAGGAAAGGACGGCACATTGTTCCAAGTTTTTCAGGGCTTGGTGAACTCCACTGGATGTCCTTTTCTGCCCCCCAGGAACTACCATACTTCTTAACAGACTTCTTAACACAGTAAGTTTTATGAGTGTTATCATTCCTGCGTAGAGACATTGCTCTCCGCTGTCCTTTTTCAGTATTGCTTAATGTGACAAAAATAGATCCCCTTTGGTCTACCACTGTGCCATTCAAAGCCAGTTGTCTATACTGGGTTGATAACACAGAATGATGGACAGGCATTAAAGATGGTGTCACCATTGACTGAGATGGGAAAGACTCCAAGAAAAGCAGAAAGGATCAGGAGCTAGATTTCAGATTGGGTTAATTTTGAGATGTCTGTTAGTAGTGCAGCTATATATGTCACTTGGTCATTGTGTTTTATTAATAAAATTTAGAATACTACTTATTAAACATACTTGGATGTCTTTTTGCAAGGATTTCCAAGAAAATATCTTGTGACCTAAGCTTTCAAAACAAAAGTTAGAATTCTGTAGCCATGTGTGTTTTGAAAACCATTTTGGGTCTTCAGTTGTCACAGTGCATCCAAATGTCAAGGTTTAAATCTGAACTTGGTTAACGTTCATAGTAGAAAATTTTTTTAAAAATTACACATTCATGAGTTGTTCTTATATTATACTTGACTCTCAGAGCTATTATTAAGAGCTTCTTATGTGATTACAACCTTTAATAAATACGTTTATGTTTGCATTTCATTCTGCAGTCAAACTTAGCAAATATTTCCCTTTGTTCTTAGTTCTAAGGAAGACTGAAGCCTTATTTAACTTTTCTATTTGGAACTAATTCATGAACTTTATTGATCTCTTCTGCTGCAGGAATCCTAGAATTTTATCTTTAGCAGTGTTTACGTTATCTATGTGTATACATTCATGTAAATTTACCTTGCTCTTCAGTTTTAATGTCTGTGTTTCTATGAAATTGGCTTCAATACTATTGAAGAACAACTAAACTTCCACTTCATGTATCATTCTTGTCTAGTTGAAATCCTTGAATAGCAAATAAATTGCATAGTCTTCTAATGAATATGCAGACACATTTATGAAAATTAATGTGAGGAAGTTGGATGAACTCTTCCATACTATTGATAGCTGCTCTTTCCATCACTTATTTTTACCTCTTCTAATTGGATCATTTTGGTGTTTTGGTAAGTTTTGATATTGCAGTTAGTTTCCATAGAAACCTTTATTGAGCTTAATCTCAGATGTCACTATTTAAATAAAGAGTTTACATGCACTAGATTGTCATTTTGAATATTAAGGGTCCTGAGCCCAGGCTGAATAATTTGGGAATCACTGTAGCTAATTAAAAAGTACTTCATGCAAAGTCTACATCACTGCTTAATTAGTTGGACATACCAAGGGATTGGGGATGTGTTGGAAAGGTACTAACTGAAACATCAAAGCCTAACTTTTTTAAAAAAAGATTTTATTTATTTATTTGGAGAGACAGAGAGTGAGAGTGGGGGGGGGGTGGGTGTGGGGGGAGGACGGAGGGAGAGAGAGAGAAGCAGGCTCCCCACTGAGCAGGGCTCCTGGAATCATGACCTGAGCCAAAGGCAGACAGTTAACGTACTGAGCCACCCAGGCTAAAAGCCTGATTTTTAAAAAAAATTAATCATTGTGAGGACAGTGGAAAGAATAGGTATAAACGAATCAAAGTCACTCTCTTCCAGTAAATGTCTTAGTTGTTTACAGCATTTGTGTTATGTTTGCAATGGCATAGTGCTTTATCCTTCCTGATGAGAATTGTGAAAATGATTCCATGGAAACCGTGAGCGCATTTGGAAGCTTAACCACTGGGTTCAACACTGGTTTGGTTAGGTATCTGCCAAATGACTTGGAGGACCTCACTTAATCTCTGAATCAATTTCTGCAACTGTAGCATGGTAACAGTTTCTACTTTACACAAGTGTGAGAATCAAATGAAATAATACAAGTGAGATACCTTGCAAATTGTAAATCCTTACATAAATGTAAAGTGTTATTATTAATGTCATGGCTTACCAAAAGGCAAATAAGGTATAGAATGGGTCCCCTTACTAAATATTACAGGTTTTGAAATTACAAATTTAGCATAACTACATTCCAAGATGTGGAAACTAGAAACACAAGCACACAATCCTTAATCAACCATACTTATACAGCGCCAATATAGATATTTAATTTTTTTCCTATTTAGGCTTTTACAATTTTTTTCTGATTATCAAAGTAATACCTACTACTATGATTATTGTATATAACTTGGACATATAGAAAAGCATAAGAACGATGATGGGCATTAAGAATTTTCTGTTATGGGTGCCTCGGTGGCTCAGTTGGTTAAGCGACTGCCTTCGGCTCAGGTCATGATCCTGGAGTGCTGGGATCGAGTCCCGCATCGGGCTCCCTGCTCAGCAGGGAGTCTGCTTCTCCCTCTGACCCTCCCCCCTCTCATGCTCGCTCTCTCTCATTCTCTCTCTCAAATAAATAAATAAAATCTTAAAAAAAAATTAAAAAAAAAGAATTTTCTGTTATGTAACCACTGTTAATCACTATTAATTTTTTTATATATTGTTAGCAAATACACTGTTAAATTTTTATCTGTATGTACTTTTAAATCATATAGTCATATTATTTTATATATTGCTTTTAAAATGAATACTGCCTTTTAAATTTATGAATTTATCATTAATTTCATTCATTCTTCATAGCTGTATAACATTCTGACAGATAAGCTCTAATTTAACTATCTCTTTCTTCCTACGCATTTAAGCTGTTTTTAGTTCTTTATAAATTAAAAAAAAAGTTGCAGAGATGTATTAAAAAATTCTTCTTCCTAACCATCCCCCCTGCCTTTTTTTTCTCATTTTGGATAATTTTCTTTTCTTTTTCTTTTTTCTTTCTTTCTTTTTTTTTGGATAATTTTCTTAAGATATATTTCCAGAAGTTGAATTACTCAATCAAATGATATGAACATTACTAATAAGACATCTCAAAAGGCAGCTCCTACCAGCAATGCTTGCAATCTTATGAACGTTTTTTCATTTTGTTTTGCATAGTTATAATCATAGTGTACGTATAATTCTGTGTCTTATTTTCAGTTAGGATTATACTTTACCTTTTTGATGTTGCTGTATGACCTTTATAACCACCATTTTAATAGCTCCATAATATTCTACCCAATGAAAATACTATAATTACTTAGTCATTCTTATATTATTGGTTGCTTCCAATTTTTCTTCTTATAAAAATAACTGAATACGGTACAGAGTTTTCATGGTTGTTGGTACTATTTTTGGATTGTTTCCTATAGATTTTTAAATATATAATTATTGGTCTAAGAACATAACAATATTTAAGCCCATTAAAAATGTATTACCATTGTCTTGCAGTATGGCAATATTAGGATTTGCTGTGGTTAGCAGCATATTAACTGGATGAGTTCACTATGTCCTTACTGACCTTTTTCACAGTCCAGTGAATTTACAGCCATAATCTTACATTCTCCCCTTATTCTTTATACCAACTGGAAACAAGTGAGCACAATGCTTTTTAAAGCTAGTATATCCTTGTATTTGGTTATTATCCAAGACATAATGAAAGAATTTGGATGATATCTGTAATACCAACAGCTCAGGACTAGTAAAATAATGACAGATAGTCTGATATGACAAAATTTCAAGACTTCCAAGCATGAGTACTCTTTTTCTTAATGAGATATAATTGATACATAACATTATCGTAGTTTCTAGTGTACAGCATAATATTTGGTATTTGTGTATATAGTAAAATCATCAATACAGCATCCTATACCATCCATCATCACTATATATGTATATATATCAGATTTTATTTATTTATTTATTTATTTATTTATTTATTTATTTATTTATTTATTTATTTATTTTAGAGAGAGAGTACATGCATGCAGGAGTGAGGGAGGGGAGGGGCAGAGAGGGAGGAAGAAGGAAAGAGAATATCAAGGAAACTCCACTGAGTGTGGAGCCTCATGTGGGGCTCCATTCCATGACCCCAAGATCATGACTGAGCCGAAACCAAGAGTCAGATGCTCAACTGACTGAGCCGCTCAGGTGGCCGTATCTTTTCTTTATCCATTTATCCATCAAAGGACACTTAGATTGCTCCTATGTCCAGGCTATTGTAAATAACTGCAGTGAACATAAGGGTGCATATATTTTTTCAAGTTAGTGTTTTTGTTTCCTCAGGATAAATACCCAGAAGTGGAACTATTGCATCATATGATAGTTGTATTATTAATTTTTTGAGAAACCTCCATACTGTTTTCCAGAGTGCAGTGCACCAATTTTCATTCCCAACCAACAGTGCACAGGGGTCCCCTTTCTGCCACATCCTCAGAAGCACTTGTTTTTCTTGATATCTCATTGTACTTTTGATTT